ATGCACGCTTTTCGGTAATTGTAGATTGTAGGTTGTAGTTGTGGATGTTCCTTTTATCTTCTGATTCTTTGCATATTATGTGGCGTGTTTATATTATTTTGTTCATTATTTCTGTGAAATTATCAACAATATAATTAACATTATTAATATTATTCATACGTAAATGAGTTTGGACATCGTTATAAAAAAAATTTCATTAAGCAATATAGAAACATAGAAATATAGAAATTTTTATAACGATGTCCAAACTCATTTACGTATGAATAATATTAATAATGTTAATTATATTGTTGATAATTTCACAGAAATAATGAACAAAATAATATAAACACGCCACATAATATGCAAAGAATCAGAAGATAAAAGGAACATCCACAACTACAACCTACAATCTACAATTACCGAAAAGCGTGCATTAAAAAATATTGAATAGTTTTAAAAAATAAACCTGAAGATGATGTTGAGACATCGAAACATGTTGTAATATATAGCGCAAATTGTAACATCGAGAAAAACGATGAATAGCGCGAATTATTTATATCAATTTTAATTTTAAACATCAATATTAAAATGGTTTGTGTATAGACTTGAAGAATAAATATATGTATCAATTGAAAACACAAACATGACGCATCTAAACTATAAATATAATCACTAATAGTTTCACCTGCGCATCCTGAACTCAACACTGACTTCTTGTAGTGTTACTATAAGCTGTACTAGTTCAGTCATGAAGTAACTGACTGTGGACTGGACATTGTGGGATCATTTCTTGGTGGGGGCATTGGCCTTTTCTTTTCTTTCCCAAACACCTCTTGGGGCCTGCTATCTAGTTTTGGGTAGAATGTTTATTTGACACATTTTCTGAGAGTAAGTGGCCAAAAAGTAGGGTTTCTTCTCCTAACCCCGCTTCATCTTAACCTGATAGCCAAAGGTATGCAAGAATTGGGAGGTTGTATAAAGTGAAGCTTTCGCAGCTACTGAAGTTGATGAAAGACTCTCGTGTTACAAGCCCCATCAGGTGGCCGAATGGTTACCATATCTTCTGCCCAACGTTTTGAGAACAATCTCTGCTGTCATCCTTAGGGCTGCTGTGTTAAAGACTCTCGGGTTACAAGCCATGTCAGGTGGCTTGTAACCCGAGAGTCTTTCATAAATTGGGAGGTTGTTTCATGTTTTGATATGGGCAAGTCCTCTGGCTTAAGATAAGAAGCACAGTGTTGAATATAAAGCAATTGTCACGGTAGTGTCTACTGTAAACATATGAATTACATGTAATGGAAAATCAAGTTAAGACAAGCAGGCTGAACCAGATATTACTTTGACGTTATGAGTTTACTTGGTTGTCATATTGTTGTTTTTCACTATACCTAATGTATGTATGTGCCTGTCTGTTGTGTGGATTTGTGTGTTAATTTTTGGGTTGCTTAAGGATGCTTTACCAACTGCAAATGTAGTATGAAGATGGCAGGATGAAGACGGCTGTCTTCTGGGAAGTTGCACTGTGTAGTCTGGCTCATTGCCCTGATAATGGAGGCACTAAGCACTCTGAAACATCGATCTATTTCTGCCAGACTACACAGTGCAACATCTCAGAAGGAGGCCATCTTCATACTTGTTTCCATGATAACGTGAAATATCACCATGGAGCAGAGGTGCAGTTGTGGTGTTTATTTCAAATAACATCTGCTATGAATTTAATATCCTCAGAATGAAAGTTTGAAGTCTGTTACATTGAGTTCCCCCACCCAGTTTTGTTGTAGGCATTACATTGTGTGTAGTATGTCATTGGTAGACTGTACCATTGCTCAAGTGGTTATTTTTTGGCTTTTCACCATGTTGGCCTGGATTTGTACCTAGGTCAGTTCAGTAGTGTTTTTGATGGACAAATGGCAGGAGGAGAGGTTTTTCTCAGAGTTCTTTGGTTTTCATCTGTCATATCATTCCACTGCTGCTCCATATTCATTCCCATATTGTCTGGGAGATGGACGTGGTCCTGTTAGTGATCACAGTTCTATTGAAACATAGATGTAAACCACGTTACATCAAATGAATATATCATTGGTAGTATTGTGGATTATGAAAAGGGTGGACTTGTATATGGGCATCATTGTTTCTATGATACATTGGCACCCATCTACAACACCACATATCATCTTCTCTTCCACGAAAATCGAAACTCTCGTAGCATTGTTTACTTCAATGTCTGTGAGTCACAGTGCGTATCTCTGCGTATGTCTTGACCTCTTATTAGCTCTGTATCCCAGATCAGATTGTGTAGGTTGAACTTGACACTAAAAGTGATGTGTAAGTAAATGGGATCTTTGTCCTCAGTTCTGTGAATAACTGAGCCTCTTCTAAAATTTATACAATTACCCTGAATGTTTGTGGAGTAAGAATACTATTCTGTCTCTGATCAGGACTGCCCAATTACTTTGTGGAAGACAGAAATTTAAGAAATGTATCTTATTTTCTTTTGGTGAAAACAAGTATCATAAGAAGAACATGGGAACTGTGCTAGAGGCTAATAAGGAGACTGGCATAGAAATAAATGCTGAAAAGGCAGGTTCATGTCTTGTCTTGATATAATGATAGAATTGAATTGTAGGTATGAAAAGTTAAATACCTGGAAACACTAGTATCATCTAAATGTTGTTCATGATAAAATGTAGAGCAGATTAAACTTGGCAGATATTTACAAGGGTTATTAAGGATGATTGGGTTTCACCTGCAGTGCAGGCTGAAAGATGACAGCTACATATCACACTTTTGCACACTCCACTTACTCCTTGCTGAAGTCAGTGCACCATTGCCTTCTGGTAACTTACTGGTTGATGCAGTAACTAGTCTTATGGGTAATACACCAACTCACAGAGACTGCAGTTCACAGTGACAACTTTGACTGTTTATTTGCTAGGAAGGATTTGAGTCATGGTTTAATTACCACACCCCTGAAAATAAAAGGCAATGGAAGTGTGACAGATCAAGAAATATTGGACAGCTTCCTCTGCTGGCAAGCAGATGGCCATGGTCTTCTAGGACACAGGTGTCATGCTGATGGTGGAGTGGCTTCTCAGGGGACAGTGTTATTTACTGTGGCATCCTCACACATCACTAACAATGATGACTTGTTGAGTGGTGTACATAAATCAGTACATGCTACTCAGAAAATTGGTTTGCTACATTCATCAGGAAGTTGTTAGAAAGTTGGAAATGGTGCATTGACCTCAGCAGGGAGTTTGTGGAGTGTGCTAAAGTGTGATCATGTGGCTGTCATCCCTCATCATGTGTTTCTGGCAAGTCCCATCTGTTTCTGAACAGTGAATGTAGATTGTGGTCTTCTGGGATGTTAGGAAATGTGTGTTACAGTTTGTTTCAGAATCATATTGTGTCTAAAGGGTTCAGTGGAAGGCTTTTGTGAACAGAGTGATGAGCATTTTGGATCCATAAAAGTTGATCATCAGCTATCAGCTTGGTGTAATGTAACCTGAACCTTCAGGTTCCATAAAAGCTGACCAACTGTCAGCTTGGTGTGGACCTTTGAGGGGAACCAACTTCTGTTTGTATGTCATGGTATAATGGTTAGCACCCCTGCTTTTAATGCAGATCTGGAGACCATCTATCCTGACTGAAATAGTTTTTTCTCAGTCTTGCCCGGCAAGTGCTGAAAGAGTACTTTAAAATAGGCCATGAACATTTCTTCCTACATACTTCCCAAATCACCTTTCATAGTAATGTTGTCAGTTCTCATTCAACACTACATAATGTTGTCATTGCATGGTTAGCTCTCTCACTTCATATTTAGGAGGTCTTAGGATTAAATCTCGATCCAAAGACTAGCTTTCCTGACTTAGGTTATTCATGGTTTTTCTCAATCCCTCCAGGTAAATGCCAGGATAGAACCATAAAAGTAGGCCATGACCGCTTTCTTCGCCATCCTTTTCAATGAATTATTTACTGTCATCCTCTCATCTGACACTATGTAGTCCAGATACAAAAAGCGTTGTTAAACTATAAATGAAATAAATACATAATCTAAGCATGAGATGCAGTGCTCGAAAATATAAAAATAAACAAGGAGTCACCTTTTTCTAAATTCAGTCTGGTATCCATTGTCTTGGTAACTGAATGGAGGGAGAAGGGGGCTTGTGAAAAACTGGTTTGTAGTTGTATTATGTAGTTGATTTTAAAAATGTATCTGCTCCATAGAGTAGAGTCCTTGAGAAACTGATAAACACTCAGTCAAGAAATTTGCTTTCTTTGTAACCCATCATTTCGTGACTGTGTTTACAAAAAGCTTCTATTGGATCCTGTCTTGAGCTAGATGGTTCACCTGTCCCATAGTTCTGTCTGTGGATCAAAAGACTGACTACAGCTCTAAAACAGTCGATAATGTGTTTAATATTTTTTTTTAATTTTTACCTGTTAACTGTGATGACTTACGATACCTGCTGTTTTACCTATGTGATTGGCCTTGTTTGCCTTTCCCTCTCCTGTTTCTGATATAAAACAAAATCTGATAGAAACAAACAACTCAGGTCTTCCGTTTTATCTCACCGAGATCAAGGGAATGTAACACTAAGGTGCATATGTGTATTTGATAATTTGTTCTTAGCTTACACTCCATATTCCATAAATACAATTATTCTGCATTCTCATCTAATCTAATCTAACAACAAGTTTTGGTAGTGTATTCTATGTAAGAGTACACTTAGTATCCTCATATGCTCTTGGCAACATGCATTTAGAGGTATTAAATCTGCCTTGTTTGATAGTTCCCACTTTGGCCACCAGATTGTGGCACCTGTATGTCTGCCTCATGACTTTCATCATCTGTAATTTTCTTATCACCACTTGTAGGATATTCAAAAGTATGATTTTGAGGTCGTGCTGAATAGCACAACCTCCACATCAGATTTCATCAAAATCTGTCCAGTGGTTCTCGAGTTGAATCGACTGGATAGGCGGGAAGTCAGACTGACGCTACCTGCCCATAATGCGTTATTGCTTTGAACATTGTGCAAGTAATGCAAGGTAATAATAGTATAAAACACCCATTGAAATTCAATGGGAAATGATTAATTTTGTATCTTCATCCATTATCCTAGTTCTTCCTTTCATTTACACCTTTTGTACCTTTGCCTCTTTTTCTCCTTTATTTCTTTTCCATTCCCATCATTTGTCTCTCTTTTTATCCCCATTTCTTATTTTATTTCATACCTTTATTTCCTTCTTTCCTTCCAAAACATATTGTCACAGAAGAATGTATGAAAGGTAAGCCATGGTACATGTTGCGTTATATTTTAATGTTTTCTGTGAGGTCTGCTCCCATTTAAATAGAAGTATTTTTTATATTATCACATGTGAAATCTGGGTAATCTGACAACGGTGTTGGGATCTTGGGCAGTAATCCATGTTAATACTCAATATTTCTCTAACATATCAGAGATTTATCTCTGTTTCCATCATAGGGATTGATGTGAGGAGAGGCACAATTTGGCCAGTGCATGTGTGCAAACACATGCACAAAGACACAAAAAAGTTCTGGGCATGTCCCTATTATTTTTACAAGTGGAGAATTGTCATTAAGTTGATAATGGACATGTTGCCCTTGGTGGATTAGTGGTTACTGTGCTTACCACTGGACCCAAGGTTCGCTGGTTCAAACCCAGCCAAAGTCGATGAATTTTTAAGGGTGATAAAATCCATAGCACAACTTCCTTCCGAGGGGAAGTAAAGCCAGCGGTCCCATGTCATAGATTTATGGCACGTAAATGAACCTTACGAGCATGAAACGAGATGTTTCGTAAGCAAAATTCACTGGCCATTTCTCACCCATGTCTCTCCTGGTTCTCTACTAGATAGCTCAGGCAGACAAATCAGGATTGTGTAGAAATTGTGCAGAGGTAGTGGGCTTGTCACTCACTACTAACACAAGGACACTTCAAAGACGAGGGAATCTCCCACATTGGAGGAGGCCAAGGCCTGGATTCGGGCTGTAGTGCCATTGGATGGATGGATGGATGATAATGAATACAGTTATTGGTGTACTTCAGCCATTCATGCACTCTGGTTTTACATGTTCAAAATTAAACAACATTTAGCTAGGTTAACTGCAGAATGGGTGACCACTTCACTGCAGTCACTTTCATGTCTCGGCTAGGCAATGTTAAACTGGGTTAGTTATGGGATTGGTGGGCCACTTAACCCATTCTCTCACCTTAGCTACTTTTGCCAGTGAGGACTAGTCTCTGTTAGTTGCCACATCAGTTCATGATGATGATGAAAACAAAAAGTATCTGAAATGTTGGAATTTTATTCTATATGAATGTGGCATATTGCCCGAGAAAACATGTTATGATGACAATAGTGATTCATAGCAATTATGTGGTAATGGATGAGCATGGTGAAGGTAATGGGTACTTATGCATTTCCGTGAAACACACATAATTATTATCCATGACATGTTTGAGGGTGCTGCACCTGATATAGAGGATTACTAAGTATTGTGTGACTTCTGTCACCACTTCTCGGAAGATTGTTACGTATTAAATGTTTATGCTCCTGAATTATTTCAAGGTGAGGCCAGATCCACATATACTGGCCATTCTTCATCATCTTTTCATATCATTTGAAACTTTAAACTCTGCTGCTGAAACAACAGTGTTAGAAACTAAGAATCCATTATAAGTATGCCTGTGTACAGTATTCTATCTGGGGGATGATGAATTTGTATGAAGATGGCTTTTTCTTCATAGTTGCTGCCAGGAGAAGTTGAAATTTACGTGCATATTTTAAAAATGCTATGTGGCAGAGTAACACCAAGGACTGGGGAAGCTCTTGGGCATTCAGAGACAGCGTCAGTAACAGTGGCCCGTACACAAGGCCGCCCCCAGGCCATTGTGAGCCGACGCTGTGGAGGAGTGACCCTGGCATCTCAACTGATGGGGATGAGTCGGGATGGCAAGACACATTTGCAGATCCTCTGTCAGCCAGAACAGCAACACCGGGCTCGATATCAGACAGAAGGAAGCCGTGGCGCTGTTAAGGACCGCAGTGGGAACGGTTTCCCTGTAGTGAAGGTAATTGGTTTTGGCAGGCAGCAGACTTATCCAAGAACCCTAACTCGTCTGGGTGATCAAATCAAGATTGCTATCTTCTGGGTTATTGAGCTGTGTGGTTTGGTAATCTCCACTAACGTTTCAGAGGTCTATGCTGACTCCCTCACCCTGATGATGTAGTCAGCATGGACCTCTGCAACGTTGGTGGAGATTACCAAACCACACAGCTCAACAACCCAGAAGACAGTAATCTTCAGACTCACTGCTGTGAAAACCTCAAATCCTACATAATAAAATCAAGATGGATTAAATGGGTGGGATATGTAATATGAGTGGAATGAAAAGGGAAAGCTCAAGGAAAGAGATTAAAGTATGGTTGAAAGGGTACGATTGGTATTAATGTAAATGGATATTCGGGAATTAGTCATGTCTCCAAATGTGTGATATGTTCTTTCAGTTTCAGTTTTCTTTTCAGTTGGTGGGCTACAATAAGCCAGCTACGTTGCAAGTTTTCATTGGAACTGATGTTGGACGTGTCGCTCCACACATGTTCTATCAGGCATGTCGTGTCAGTGGTAAGAACTCGACACCGTGCATGGAGAGAAAAATTGATGGCACCATTGTCATTGAAGTTGACTTTGACCCTGGAAAGGACATGGTCATAACGTAAGTACTGTAGCAGTTTTAACAATTTTACTCCCAGCAACTCTGCTGTTGGCTTACCTTATAGCCGAGCCAGTTTTTGCTGTATTATAGAATTTGTCAGGATTTTATGGTAAGAAATTAATAGAAAATGATCTGTAAATTTCAGAAGGTAGTTGTGTGCAACATCTAGAAGTAGAAGAGAAAATTGTGTTCAAAAGCTGCCTTCTCACTGCATATTACAGTCTGACATATGTCAGATATAGTCTGGACTGTTTGAGGAACAAATGTGTTTATCATGTGGAATTTTAGGAAACAGTTCATAATTTTACTGCAGACTTTATTTTCTTCAAAGAAAATGCATTAATTATTTGTACATACATCAGATTTCAAAATTGTAACAATGGTAGAAAGAGAGGTTAGAATCAGAAATTTAAATTCCATAAGATCACATGATGTTTGGAGAGGAATTGCAAGTGACTAATTCTGCATTTATGTAATTTATACTTTTTTTACATAGTTTTGTTAACTATAAAATTAAATGGGAAAATATGAGGGTATTCACACAGTGTGACAAAACTACTTTGTTAAATCTTTGTGCATTATGTGAAACTGGGTCACTCATTCTGAGAGAAGAACTGGGTTTGTCATAAGAGGATAAGTGAGCATTGGTTAGATAAGTTATGGGAACACAGAGAAAGTGCATGATGAGAATATACTATTTAAAACTTTTACAGCAAATAAATCCTATAAAATCCTCTCGGGCAATCAGCCATATCAGTGCTGAATAAAAAACCAATGTTTTGGATACTCACTCTGTCTTCTTCGTCAGGGTGATGGCAGAGATGGTGGTAATGGGTATGTGAACTGGACTCATTTGGCTTAGGATGTGGTCAGTTGCAGGATGTAGTGAGCACAGTGATTCATTCTATGAGCAGTAAGGAATCTGTATTGGAGAGTCCACCAAGCTAAGGTGTAAATGCACTGCGTAACAGTGCAGATGCCAGCAGTTAGAGTTTCTTGTGGATATTTCATATCTCTGAATTCCAAGATGATTGTGTGATTCTCTAAAGGGGCACTTCTGTGCTGCATTTACAGGTGTGATTGTGTTGGTATCTTGAAGGAACGAAATGTGGATGTAGAACATAGGTTTCCAGATCAGTCAGGATCACGTAACAAGAAGAAATCTACACGGTGCCGCATGGTGTTTCGTACCACAATCACACATCCTGATGGCACCACAGAGATTTTGCAAACAACCTCGCAGCCTATTGTTTGTAGTACGTAGAGTCTACTGTCATTGTTATGATGATGTACATTTTTATTGTGCCCCTTTAAGTTCATTTTAGTTTTTATTTTAGTCTGTGTTACTTATTTATAAAAAAACGAATCCTAAAAATGTACCAATGAATTTGCATGCGTATGTGCTGTATTTACTTTAATAATGTCCCCCCATTTTGCTTACTATTTTTAACACTAAAACTAAAGAGGGGCAATATTGGTGTTGTATAACAAAAACTGTCACACTGTACAGAAATAAATGTAAAAATGAAGTTGTGTCTGAGTCTAAAGATGGGTTTTATAAAGCTTTCTGTGAAGGAGTTGTGTTAATTAGAAGTGTTACTGTTCCTTTAAAATTGAATCCTGTGCGGGCCAAGGTTAAAATTGTACCACATTTGGAATAAATATTAATTAAGCTTCCATTATCATTGGTGATGAATAATGATAGATACTTTGTTGCTTTATACTATAGCATTCCATGGTCTGTTTGAAACTTCATGCCATATTTCAGACTTCCATATGAAGTTGTTATAATAATGCTTCTACCTTGAACACTGGCACAGCTCTCATATGTCATTGTGTGTGTGTGTGTGTGTGTG